TCAGGAGGCTGAGGCAGGAGAATCATTTCAACTCTAGAGGCAGAGGTTGCAGTGAACTGAGATGGCACCATTGCACTCCAGCTTGGGTAACAAGAGCGAGACTCTGTCTCAAATAAAAAAAAAAAGAAAACGGGGCTAATAGTGATATATTTTTAGGTCACACATTGATACCTCTAAAATCTACACTGACGTGATATAAATTATTTCATCTAAAGGAGATGAGCATAAAACTTGGGCAGCCCCTTGAGGTCTCCAGCTTTTTTTTTGTTGTTTTTTGAGACGGAATCTTGCTGTTTTGCCCAGGCTGGAGTGCAGTGGTGCAATCTCAGCTCACTGCAATCTCTGCCTCTCAGGTTCATGGGATTACAGGCGCCTGCCACAATGCCCACCTAATTGTTGTGTTTTTAGTAGAGACGAGGTTTCACCATATTGGCCAGGCTGGTCTCAAACTCCTGACTTCAAGGGATCCGCCCACCTTGGCCTCCCAAAGTGCTGGGATTACAGGCATGAGCCACTGCCCCTGGCCGGTGTCTCTAACTTGTATCTTTCCCAAAGTCAAAATTGACTTAGTGGTGAAAGATGTGTTTTCCCCTTGTCTTCTACCACTTCAGCCTGATTCTGTATCTGATTTTCTACCCCAGCCAGTTCAGGAGAGCTAGGGAGGGGATGTCTACTCTTTTGGATCACATCCCTCTCTTTTCCCAATGGCAGGTTAATGGTAGTATGGCTTGAACAGAGCCAGAGCTTGCTTAGGTGTCTGACAGTTACAGGTTCAAACAGTGGGTTCTCCTCTTCCTCGTGGCCTTTGAGGCATCTCCATGGAAAGGGAGCGCCTGAAGCACCTTTTTCAGTTGTCCTGGGAGATGGAGACTCTGGCCTGTACCAGTAGCAGCTTCCCAGTTCACCATGCTGCCAGCTACTGAGTCCTACTGGCCAGAGGGTCACTCACCTCAGGACATGTTTTCCACTGCATTCTTTTTTTTTTTTTTAATTCCCTCTTCCCCCTGCATTCTTGATGTTAGTAATAAATCAATTAATTTTACTTTGCTTATTAAATCCTTTGCTAATCAAAAGTACTTTTTGAATACTTAGTACTCAAAAGTAGTAGTATTATTTCTCATTTACATTAAGATGAAAGAGGTTAAGTGAGTTGCTTAAAAATCACTAGCTTGCGGCCAGGTGTAGTGGCTCATGCCTGTA